GAAGTTGACGATTTCTAAAAATGCGTGTAAAATTAGTGTTAAAAAACATGTCAAACCCAATGTGACAGTTACATTTTGACATGACAACGCGACAACAATTATAGTTTTGTCTGGGGTCTGCCTTGCAGTACGATAATACCAGAGGAGTGTCAGTGCCAGTACCCAGTACCCAGTCCAACCCAGCTAGAGACTTAGTTCAAGTCCAAGAGCAGGACCCTGGCCTCTGTGTGTTAATTCAATAAATACTCATACTCATACACGAACACATACTGGCGTCGTAGCTGGTTGGACATTCTAAGTAAGCGACGATTGCCATCGGCGATGGCTGCCATGCTAAGCGTATGATTAACGTCCGTTTTGATGACACAGCCAGCCATGGTGGAGCTCTCCACTCGTGCGAGGGTAGCAGGAGCTGCATTGTTTGCTTGCGTGGTACATTTGCATGCAACAATCGGCTCTGCAACCGGTTAAAGATTGGCGGCACTTGCGGCCAAGCATGTTGTACAATTTCATAGTCCGCCAAGAGATGACAGGGAATCACGCACGAGGGCCAACACGAAGGAGAGAGAGCAACACGCTTCGAAAAGGAGCTCTCTCTCTCTCTTTCAGCATAAAATCCTTCTTTAGAGCGGCACAGTATATTATTTTATTCCCATTTTATAAGCATAATCCTTTTAATCAACTTTAATTTCTTGATTTTCAAGTTTCTTCACGCTAAAAGTTACCTCATTAGCTGAAATTATAGATTCTTGCTGTACGAACCGGCATTTATCTAAGCGTCAATTCGCTAATCGACAGTAATGTGACGTTTAAGTATTTAACAGACCGATAAATCCAGCAATAATGAATTAGAACGTGACAGAGCAGAGCAGAGTAGAGCCACAGCCAGAGCCAGAGCAAAAACTCACAGAGTTGTGTGTGTTTTATGGACAGAGAGAGAGAGATACATGGCAATGTATCTGCGATTTATGGTCAAGGCATTTGCCCGTCAGCCTCGCGTACATAGGAGTATATCTCGTTAGTTCGTTGATGTGGGATTTAAGAGGCTAATCGGCACTTTAACAGCCCAAAAGAGCGAGTGTTGGGGATCATTGCCCAAAAGAGAGCCCAGACTCCATAATTGTTCAACATGTTCCTCCTGGGCAGCTGCTACGGCTGCTACGGCTGCTACGAGTACGAGTACGAGTATATTCCCCCCATCTCTAGGTGTGTAACAAAAAACGTATTATGCCTGCGAGGGCTAATACATGCAGTTATTATTAATGCCACTGCGGATGGGGTTCGCTGTTCGGTATGTTCGGGGTCCAGGGTTCGGGATTCGGGGTATGTCGACACTAAATAAGCCTTCATTTTTCATGGCTCTCGCCTGACCGAATTCTATGCAGCAGCAGCAGCTTCAGCTTCAGCCTGTTCTTGGATGCCATGACGCAGCTGCAGTTGGGAAAAACTGTATTTATGCTGGGGTCTGCCACCGCATTCCATGGCCTAAGACTGGTAGACGGGGTTCAAATGTCAGGGGCCATAAATAAGCCAGAAACCAAACAGGCGGCCAAAAGGCCTGCCGCGACACCGACACCGATGCTGATGCGATGCCCCCTGTGCCCTGCAGTTGAATTTGCAGATGGATGGACAGATGCATGCATGCATGCAGAAGCCTGATCGCTCCTTTTATCGCGTTTGCAATTCAAGGCGCGAAACAATTAAACATAGTTTTCATTGCACAAAGCCCGCCGACGACATTGCGTAAATTAATTTGAGCATAAAACACACACAGACACATACACACACATACAGACAAAACGAGCACACACACAAATGTCTCAAAGAAAGCGCGCTAAACAAATCCAATTTCACCGACAGACACCGACGGACACGGCAAATGTTTATCCATCTGCCTGTGGGCGGGGTAGGGGTAGCTCTTTCACTGGCAAAACACCCAAGGCTACCACTCATGGCCATATTTGTGGAGCAATCCACAATCCACAATCCACAATCCCCACCTTCATCTCTCTCTCTCTCTCCTGCCAGCAGCATGCGCTCCCAGCTCTAATGCAGCCCGATCAACAATTTAGATATAATATCGCATATCGCATCATAATGTCGCCGACGTCGTCATCATCATCATCATCATCATCATGGAATGGAATGGATGTGCTAGTGGTTGTGGGCAACAAAATGGCGACACCAGTGGCACCACACTGCTGCCACATCGATCGGTGGCTGCCACCACAGTGGCAGCAACCAACAACCATCACCACCACGGCGGCGGCATCTTTTTTCGCACCTTGTTTGAATGCGCACGCCTAATGGACGACAGCGACATTAGTTAGTCCGCCGACGGATCCACAGACGGGGGGCATCCGAGGATGGGGCTGCAAAACTTGGTTTTTGTGGTCCAGTTTTTTTTTGTTTGTTTTATTTTTTTTTGTAGTATCTTTGCGCAGAGATTATAGATTTAATTAAAAAGAAAGAAAGACACATTCGAGACCAGCTTTAAATACACTTTCGTTTGTTATTTTTTTGTGAAAGAGAAACTGCCAAGAATTTTAGTTCATCTTTCGAATATTTAGGATCGAATCTTAGATAGTTAAACTTTCTCATTAAATTCATTTGAAATTATTCCACAAGAGAAGAAGGACAGACCAGGGACAAACCATGTTTTTTATTCATATTTACTGACTGTAATAACTATCGGATATTAGTTATAATTTAAGATGTACCAAAATCTATCCATACCAAAAGTATCTATTACGCAAAGTATTCAATTAATCAGCTGTGGGCTGGTTTTTGCTTCCACTGATGCTCGGGACACACAAGCGAATGCTGCAAAAGAGAATGCCTTAGAATTTCAGAATTTCTATTTGGACTGCTTCTGAGCAAACAAGAGTCCAAAATGCTGCCTTCTACGTTCTCCACTTGTTTTGGGTAGTACTCTATACCCCAAGCGGATGCTCAAACGGTTAGAGTATCGTTTTGAGGAGGGGACGTGACGCTGGCAAAAGACAAAAGCCAACACCAAACGATCTGCACAAAATTGGTAGCTGTCAACGCCTTTTTTAATTGAAAGCGTGTTGGTGTTAAATACTCGTAAGTATCTCTTAGTATGATTTTTGCGCCGATCGCGATATGACAACGCGGGACAACAAACGGACAGACCGACAGACAGACACTTGGATGCGGTCTGTCCGTCAGAGCGGCAGTGACAGACAGATGGATGGACAGGCGATTGGCGACTGAGACTGGTCGGGGCTTATCGGTGAACTACTTTTTCAAATGGAAATGAATGAAATGAGCCAACGAGTCATGCGAATGCGAATAGGAATACGAAAATTATATGAAATCAATGGGCAGCAGGCAGCAGGAAGGCAGGCAGGCAGGCCAGGCAGGCAAACTGCCGGCAAATCGATTGAACGAGAGCCAACGAGAGGAAAAATATCCAAAAATTGTAATTTCTTTAACCTTGCTTTCACTTTTCTCATTAACTTTTCGTCGGCAATTAAAATTCAATTTTTGCAACAAAAAATCAACTCAGATAAATGGCCGCACATTTCTCAAGCGGATCGGATTGGATCACAGAGCGGATTGGCGGTTTCTAGAGGAGCAAAAGTGCGCGGGGGAGCGTGTGAAAAAGGCCAAATGGCCAGCAGCAGCAGCAGCCAACAGCCAAGAGCCAACAGCCAACAGAGTCGACAGCCAAGATATGTATGAGAAAACGCTAACAAGGCGATGCCAATTTTTAAATGCCAATTTCCGCAAATTATTAAATGAAATTGAGGATTCCAAAGAGCTAGTATCTAGTATCTGCCACATCTTTCGGGGGAGCTATGGCATACCATATATGGTAGCTGCGTGTCGTGTAGCTGCAATTTGACATACTTTTGTTAACCAGCAAAACTGCAACTGCAACTGCAGCAGCCGCAGAAGCAGCAGCCGCAGCAGCAACATCGGCTGTGTGGCATCAACAATCATAGTAATAATGCAACAACAAAAAAGAAAACACTTAATAGTAGCGCGAAAGTATGACGAATATGTAAACGCATCGGAGGCAACCCGGCAACAGCTAATCCCGGCAACAAATTATTGTGATTAATCAGCGAAATTGCATTAGCCAGCAGTGGAAGTCAAAGTCGAAGTCTCTCCCATGGAGGGCGTTGCTGCAACTGTCACTGGGCGCTGATTAAGCGCCTGGGAGCCATGGATACCTCCATCACTGGGTGGAGAATGCCGGTGGAGTGCTGCCGTTGTGGGTGCCGTGCGTGCGCAATTATGCTTCAGGGCACGACGATAACCTAAGGCAGAGACACACGCACACACACACTCATTAACAAATCAATTAAAGTGCCAGGAAATGGCTGCGACAAGCCTGGCAGATGCTCCTTCAAAGCTCCAATGTCCCATCTGGTGGCAGGCAGGCAGGCAGCAGCTTATCTAACGGCTCCATTTGGCCGCTGACTGGCGGCAGCCCCATCTCTCAATCTCAATCTTTCAGCCCGATCCTAAAACTAATGCGAAAGTGGCTTTGGCTTTGGCTTCGGCTTTGGCCTCGAGCAGGAGTGGACACTGAGCGGATGCGCGTAATAAATTAATAAAGCCAGCATTAAATGCAATGCATATTCAATTAACAATGTCAGAGAGTCTGCGCCGCCGCCGCCGCCGCGTATCTGGCAGATACATTTGGCATTTCGCTGCGCATGCCGCGCATTTCCTGTCCGAATCTCAATCCGTATCCCCCGAGAGACAGAGCTCATTAAGCCGCGTACAAAGTTGCTGCGGACTGCTGACTGCTGCTGGCTACTGCTGGGGAGAAACCGTTTTTATAGATATTGTAAATCGTGCGACGAACTTAGGGAACACTTTACGATCCACAGAGGATTCTGTGGATTTTGCACTGGCAATGACGGAATTCATAAAAAATATCTGCCTCCTTCTAGCTTTCAGATACGTTCAGATACCCCTGCTTATTGATGACTCTTATGGTTGGTATATTCCTTGGCACTTACCTCATTCATCTCATCCTCCATGGCGCGCTGCCTCGTCAGCTGCCGCAGACGCTCGCGCCTCTGTTCGGTCAACTGCTCCAACCGTTGGGCGGCGCGATCCACCTCGTTGAAGAGAAGCGTCACCTTGCGCAGCTTGCAGGCGGCATCCGCATTGAGCACCGTCATCGGTGCTCGCAGTGGTGAGTTGCCGGCACCCGCCGGGGCAGAGGTGATGCCTCTGGCCAGCTCCTGCAGGCGGGAGAGCTGTGAGGCCCCCAGCTTGCGGAGGCTGTGCAGCTGCGAGTCCATCAGGGCACGACTCAGTGCCCGATGCTGGCCGTATAGCTGGCGGCGCGTTGGAAGGCCCTGCAGATCGGCGGCGCGTATATCGCTGAGGGCGCTAACCAAACGCCCGCCGGCGGCCGAACACTGCCGCTGGAACGCCTCCAGCTGAGCGAAGAACTCGCGCCACTTGCCCGCGTCGTGATGGGGCTGCTGCTGCTGCTGCTGCTGCTGTTGGTGCGACTGCTGCTGTTGCTGCTGCTGGCCGGACAAGGCAGGGAGCGACGGGAGCAGGCCACTGGGTAGCTGTGATGGCGCAACACTTGTCGTGACTTGGTCGACGCTAATGAATTTAACCAAATGCGATGGCGATGCCGGCTCCTGTTGGGGTCAGAGTCAGAGCAAAAAAAAAAACAAAACAAAAAAAAAAAACACAGCGGAATCGTTGTCATTAGTGGATTTGGCCAGTAGTTCTGTTTATTTTGGCTGGCCTGGGTCTGGCCTGGTCATGTAGATCGGGTTAATTGGCTCGGACTGGGGTTCGGACTGCAACGCGACGCGACTCTTTTTTTTTTTTGGGGCGTGAACCCGAACCCCCAGTTCGAACTCAAATGATTTTATATTTTGTGCAATCTGAAAGGTCAAACTCTAAACTTACCGGGTGATCATTGTGTTTGTTGTTGCTGCTGTTGTTGCTGCTGGAGGAGGTGGAGTTCTGCTGTTGCTTCTGTTGCTGCTGCTCGTTGCACAATTGCAGCAAATTTGTATCGCTAGAAACGACCAAAATTTCACAATTGCCAATCTGCTTGCTTAAGAGCCTGAGACTTTGGCAAATTAATTCGATTACGCATAAATGTTGCGATTTCTCGATGGCAATTAAAATGGTAAATGTTTGCTGGGCGGGTTGCTGCTGTTGCGGTTGTCGCTGCGACTGCTGCTCCGTGGTACTTTTATGGCCATTGATTGTTGCGGTTGTTCCTGCTGTTTGGGGGGCAGCAGGCGGAGTGCTGCAAATGTGGCAAAGAAAAACGGGCAATGAATGAGTTGTGGCGTGTCTCTAGTAACTCTGTTGTGGCCGAGAAGTGCACGGTCAAGTCGCATAAATAACAACGAAAATGTGGTTTTGTTGTCGATCGGAGCTGCTCACTCGTTCAGCGAGTGGAACTAGTTCACGCGTATCGATTTGCTATTCGAATCGTAATTGAAATCAGTATCTTACAGGATTATATGAAGGGAAACTTAATTATCGTATTAAATTTTAGATCGACTGGAAATGTCTGCTTTTTATGTACAAAGAAAAAACAGCACTTAGTATTGATAAATATTATTGAAAATATTATTGAAATAAGACGTTTTCGAACTCCGGGAACTTTTGAATTAGATTGCGCTTCAAAGTTGTTCTTTAGAACATCCTGAAAAAAACCTCCCTCTTATTGGTTTGCTTTTTTATTCACAGTTGTGAAATTTGTTTAAATTTTTATTTTTAATTATAATAAATTCATTCCATAAAAAAAATATTTCCTTTCTATGTTATATTTGATTTATTTTGGTTCAGGTTGCGGCTCACAATTTTCTAACAAAAGTTAAAGTATATTCCCCCTCCTAAGTTTTATTAGCTTGATCTGTAATTTCAACGTTGCGGTATATTCTATTCCCAGAGTTGCATTTCCTTTAGGGAGAACCTTGAGAACTAGTTCACATGTGGATGTGGCTGCACAGCCAGCTCTCACACTGTGATTAAGGCAATGGGGTGGCGTGTGGCGGTGCTCTAGCCCGAGCTTTAAAGAGCGAGCAGCAGCGGCAGTGGCAGCAGCAGAACACACAAACTTGGCAACGCCCAAAACAAGTTCAACTTAATTGGCAATAAGCGGCCTCTGCACTTGGCTCAGCTCAGCTCAGTTCGCCACTGCCACTGGCACAGCACTGCCTCAGTGTCGGAATCAGAGTCGCACTCAAAGTCCGCAAAGCACTTTACCTTTCAGTAAATCAGCGAAGGAAAACCACGTAACTATGACAAGTTGGTAGCCACTTTTAATCAGCGTAAATAAAAATTGAAAATTGCTGCTAATGGCAGCTGTTTGGTGTTAGGAGGGGGAAGGCATTAAAGCCATGGGCACGGAGATCGCAGCTCGCAGCTTGGAGCCCGGAGCGGAGTAGTGTCTTAACACTTTAGCCAAAGTTTGTCTACGAGCCAGAGTCAAAGGCAGAGCCAGAAATTCCTGCTGTTCGGCTGCCAGAACGGACTGTAACTGTAAACGCATGCCGGGGCCAGGTTCTCACATATTTGCCACTCGCTGTTGCTGCTGTTGCTGCTGCTGCTGCTGCCACGGTGGCTGTTGCACTCACAGTCCACCCCCGTTGCTGTTGCAGTTTGCACGCAATGCTCGGAGATCCAAGCAGAGCTGTGGCGTGCTGCAAGCCACCGACTTAATGATGCCGCCAACGCCGCACACTGCACGGGTTGTCTATAAAGAGCGGTTGGCATTTCAATTTCAAAGCAGCCTACAATGTACATTCATGCTGCCATTAGCTGTGCGGCTAATTACTTCACAACGAACAGGGAATACTCTATCTTAAGCTATAGGCGTAGCGAGCTTTCTGGCTGGATTGGTGGTAAGTAAGTACCATAGTGGGTAACCTCTAGCTATGTTTAAAGAAATATATTCACACTTCTCCTAGATTTGTGCCATAACTTGAATGAATCTGTGGAAATAAAATATCTAAAAATAAAAAAAAAATTCATGGAAATTCCCTTAACTAATCCACGAATATTCTCCATTATTAAACTTTAATTATTTCCAACTTGCTTAGTTAAATGTTTCCCCTATGCTTGGGATATTTCTATGAAGTGCTTACAAATCCATACATTTTCCCGGAATCATATTTTCCAAGATTTTTGTGTGACCCAAAAACTGTTTAGCCGCTTGCCCCGCAGGCCTCACCTTATCCCCTCACTTATGCAGGTAATTATAATTTGAGACCTTTGCTGATTTGTTTTTCCGATCCATTTGGGGTTTCTTATTTGGCACAAAGAGCCAGCCGCGAATGCGGCACCCATTGGCTGAGTAGGGCAAGACGCACTAAAATATGAGGAGCAACACACTGCACAGTCCCCTAGGTCCAGGTCGAGCGTGTGTAACCCGAGCTTTTCTTTAATATTCGTATTATGCGCGGGCATGCATATTTATACCTTCATAGACGTAGTCGTAGCCGAAGATTCCAAGAAATGCAGAGCCAAACACACACACACACACACACACACACAACGAACTCTGTCCATAAAAACAAATTTAATTGCAAGCTGTCACACACACACACACACACCCCCCTATCCGTGGGAGAGAGGCAGTCTCTTGAGGATGGGTCTTGAGGATGAAGTCGAAGTTGGAGTCAGACCTCGAGTAAGAGTCGGTGGTGTCGGGGTCAGACCCAGACCCAGGCCCATCATACTATACATATGCTTGGGCAGACAAATGATGTAAGTTTTTTTTGGATAAGCCATCTATTGCCCATCTCTGTGGTGCCTCTCTCTCTCTGTGTTGACACTGGTAGGCCCAGGCTTCACTTGGTGAAAACTTTACAAAGCTCAAATATTAAATATTTGCGTGAGCAAGTCTCCATCCGTCCATCCATCCGTTTGTACATCTGTCTGACATTTTTGGTTTGGACAGGCAGCTAATGAATACCTTACACATGTCGGCAAACAAACGCAAATAATGTCAATGGCTGCAACAGCCCCGCGACTCTCAAGTGGCTCTGGCTCTGGCTCTACGTCTGCCTCTGCCTGTCCTGTCCGACTCTCAAGCCCCAACTCCGTCATGCGTCAGAGTGAGAGACTGGCTGAATGCTGATGATGATGATGAGGCGGCTGCTGATATTGCTGCTGCTGCTGCTGCTGTGCCAGTTTTCAGCACAAACTCCACTTCCAGACTGACTAGCAATCTCTGTATGTTTGTCAAAGAGTTTTCTACACGATTTGGCCGCGTTTTAACCACCAATTGGCATTGAAGCAATTAACATTAACATGCAGCTGGAGCTGGAGTTGGAGTTGCGACTGAAACTGGAACGGGAACGGGAATCGCGATGAGTGTTCGTTCTCTTATGTCGATTTAGATTTCACAGATTTTTCTGATATTTCCAGGAATCGTGTGGCCGCCTCGTACCTTTCTGAATATTCAGCGCAAAAAGCAGCAGCAGCAGCAGCAATAGCAACAACAAAATATAAAAGTTCACATCATAAATCTTAAAGTGTCACGAATCTGTCTGCAAAAAAAAATCATTCATTTGCCCTACAGTATGCTCTCTCTCTGTCTCTCTTTCTAACTCGCTGTTCCTCCCCCACTCTGTGACACATCCCTCTTTCTCTATCTCTCTCCCTCTCGTTTACTCCACAAAGGGAAGCCGCACACAGACGACGTGCCATGGTGCTTCCCCCCACCAGCCCCAACAGCCACACAGCAACAGCAACTGTAGCCGCCTGAGTGGAATTCTAATTTACACTAGACAGCAGGCGGAAAAACTCTGTTCCTGAGAACTGACTTCTACTGCATTTCGATTGATTTTCCCAGGGGGTTTTGACCCTGATGGGAACCTCATGTATTTGGAGGGTTTTCCTTGAAAGAGATCTGAAGGAAATTTTGATTTTTGTTCAAGATATGTGCCTAGAATTTCTTTATCGATCAGCGGTCAGCATAACTCTAGCATCAATCGTTGCCTCGTTTTGTGTACCATTTTCTGGCATTCTCTTTCACTTGTGCATCCCGAGTCGAGCAATGGGAAACAAGGACGTGCCTATCTAATTCCCCAAGGAATTTCTCCTTGAATAATTACCTCAAAGCTTTCTCAATGATTTTCTTATGATCTTTACTCTATTACACCCATGAATTATGGGGCTCATTAATGTCCAAGGGGTTTCCTTTGCTCAAATATCAAATATCCCATGAAACATGATTCCCAATAATATCGTAAGAGCCATTTCCTTCCCACACGAACACATGAGCACAGGAAATATCTTCCAATTAAGTTTCATTGACTTTCGCCTGGAAATCTGTAAGTCTGTAAATCTGGGAATCATTTCATTGCCAGCTTAAAAGCCATTTCAATATCTTTTGGCAGATCTAGGACAGATACTGGATACCGCAAACTATGCTGGACAGTGCCCTCCTGCCACCTCCTATTGACTTTTGTTCTATTTTCTATGGCCAGAGTACGAGCAAGAGCCCAGAGTTCTCGGCTCTTGGTTCCCAGTTCTCAGCCACAATGCAAGTGCTGTTCGATGTTGTTGCCGCATGTTTCCTTTTAGCCAAAGTGGCAAATTGACTGACATGCATTCGGGCCGACCATCCAACCATCCGACCATCGATGGGATGGAGCAGAGCAGAGCAGAGCAGAGTGGAGTAGAGGAAACGTCCAACAGTCCAACGGTCTTAAAGGCTTAACTGCTTCGTTCCCAGCGCCACTCGGTGGCTGTCTGTCCGTCCGTCTGTCTTTCTTTGGTGTTGCATTTGCACATTTGCATATCTGCTCGTAAATATGGATGGGCCGTCTCGTGTGAGAGAGCCATCCGCTGGCTGGCGAGGTCTCTGCAAAGTCTATGAACTTTTTGCCAGACAAATTGAAATGCCTGATTTTCGAATTCTGATTCTGATTCTGATTCTGGTTCTGGGTTCCTTTTCTCTCTCTCTCTCTCTCGCTTTGGGCCCATTCCCATGCATTACATTGACATTAAACCGATGAGGCTTTGATTCTAATTCTGATTCAGTTTCAGATATATTGCAGATAGTATTATGGTTATGGTTATGGATACCAAGCTCGATCCCCCCCAACACTTACTTGCGTTCCGGTATGGTGCTGTAGTAGAGCAGCAGTGTGGCAAGCTCATAGCAATTGAGGCCGGCGGTCGCCACACAGGCCGCATCCACGCTCACAAGTGGGTCGCCTTGGAGGGTGCGTGTGCCTGCAAAAGAAGAACAGATGTGGAAAAAATTCAAAATCAAAAGAGATCTCAGATCTCAACACTCCATCTCTCAATTGGTTCGCCCTGGGTGGTCGATAATGTGCGAAAAACTGTGTGCGAATTAATTGAAAAGCTCCTCCCCCCCCCCCCTCTCTCTCGCTCTCTTGCTGTGCCAGCGGCAAATTGCCTCTTTTTTTTTTGTTTGCGGGTGGGGGCGATTCCAATTTATAAGCAAATTTTGTGCAGTTTTCAGTGAAAGTCTAGAATTAAATGGAAAGTTTTTTTTTGTCACCTGTGGGACACTCACCTGGCAGATAGACGCCGCTGGTCAGCAGTTTCTCGGGCAGCTCCCCAATGGAGCTGGGCGGCAGCAGCTCCGTTTCGCAGGTCTCTAAAAAAACCAAAAACCAAAGCAAGGCAAAGAAAACGGGTGAGAAAACACATGAGAAAATATGAATGGATGGATCGGATGGATGAATGGATGGATGGGGGTACCACGTATATGGGTTAATTGGGTTTTAAACGCTCGTCGACGAAAACCTTGAAAACTCGTTCAGGATCTGCGCCGTTTGCATAATAATGTCATTTGATTAATTTTGCTGCTGCCACTGGGGCAGGCAGCCGGCTGCAGCCTACAGCCTACAGCCTATAGCTTGCTGCTCCTGCTAGGAAGGAGGCGTGGTCTGGGCACAAAAAAAAAAAAAAAAACAGGTCCATCATAATTCATTTCACGGTGTCCACCGACTTTCCCATGCGACAAACAAAAAATATTTCCACATGATAAATGCGGCACATTTCAGCGTCTGCGAATATTCTGCTGCCAACCATCGCTCTGAACAACCTCACTCGGGGGGCCACCTGTTGGTGCCACTGCCACTGGTGGCACTGTCACAGAGAGCGAAACCGAAACCATATCCGGGGGCGGGAGTCGGGAGTCGGGAGTTGGGTGTGGTGGGGGGTAGGGGAGGCCTGAGCATTGTAATTCGATATCCCGACCACAGAGACCTGCAGCAGCCCCCGCATTTTTGCGGCTGATTTATGCCCGCTCGCAAATTGCACCCACACCCAACATACTCGTAGTAGTCGGTCGTTCGGGGTTGAACGCATTCCAGGGCACAGTGGTGCAAGATATTGGCATTCATCAGAATAAATATGTTGAGAGAGTAAAGGAACGGAAGTTCCCCGTAAGACTTATCGAGTAGCATTTGAAATAGCCCTGACTGGATGTAACAGAAACTTCTGAAAGCTGCTTGTTCAGTGAGAATTCATGCGGGTGCCAGTCTTTTATGTACAATTTTATGGATGGGAATGTTTGAACGAAGGAATGCGGCTCTAATATAGGATTTAATGGGAAACAATAAAAAGGATATCAAAGAAGAGAATATTTAATTATGCAGTGGATTTCGAGAGAAAGATAATCTTAACGATGCAAGAGAAGCTTCATAAAAGTATTCCCAACTGGAATAATTTATGGAAGAATTTGTCATATTACCCTCAAGTTCCAAGCTAAGCCCGAGAGCAAGCAAAATGCACCACAAGGCTTAAAAGGTTGTAGCTTATCCCTACAAAGAAAAGAGCTGGACGAAATGTGAGATAAGAGGGGTAAATGAGTGACTAATTGTGAGAGAGCGAAAGGAACGGCCATTCCAATGCATTGGTATAAAACTCCCCTGGAAACAACACGAGCGAAATGAGGCAGGCAAGAGTCGAAAGAGCCTGAGAGAAAGGGCGATTGATCGATCCCTTATAATGTCGATGAGGAATGGAATCGATTCCATTGGAGAGCACATTGAATGTGGGGAAGGAAATATCACGTGTTGTCCCAAAAGGCAACGCTCACAGCGAAGATGCAGAGTCAGGTGAGCATAGGCCACTGGAGCCGCAGTTTCTCTCTCACTATCTTATACTAGTAGTAGAAGATCCGAAAGGTGTACAAAATCAAAGCAATATTTTTCATACCATTTCGAACCACTGTCTGGGTCCGTGGGGGCACACACTGCTTTGGTTTCTCATTTAATTTTCATATTTTAGGCTTTTGACAAATTAAAAGGCATTTGCACCGGTGTCGCTGTGTCTGTGGCTGTCGCTGCCCCTGCGGCTAACCAGAGTCTCGCCGGATGCCGTGGGCGGCTGTGGCTGCTGCCGCTGCTGGTGCTGCTGCGGTTTCATTACGGGTGGACATTTGTTGGGGCAGCACTCCATATAGTCTAGAGCTTAGACCCAGAAGCTTCTGCGGCTAACGGTGCCCCTTTCCACATCCTCGCGGATCAATTGGTAAAGGGCCTTCATGCGATAGTGCAGCACCATCAGCACGATGACCATAATGAATGTGTAAATATAGGCATTACACAGGACGAAGATGACCCAGCCGGGAAACATAGCACCCACACAGCCCTGCTGGTAGATGTTGTCGTGGGTGACGGTCTTGTTCCGATAGCAGCTGTCCGGCCCCGTTCGCTTTGGATAATTGTAGTCCGAGGGCCCCAGCATACCGCAGCATTTGTACATCTCTTCGGTGTCGCCTAGCTGATTTGTGTTGAACATGTAGACCACGCTGAAGATGTCATAGAGATCATGAAACAGATACGTTCCCAGCCCTAGAGGGCATACACCGACAACAATGAATATGCCCATCCACTAGAGGGAGTAGTAGGTGGATCGTTCATTTATAGAGAGAGAGCCTTAACTTTGATCAAATGCTCACCAATTCAGAGTAATTAAACTTGACCCTGTACACCAGAATGGCGTCCACAATGAGCAGAATGAGGCTAACCATCTGCAGCAGAACCATCACCGCAATACAAGGAAGGTAGCTAAAGTGCACGGGTATACTCTGTATAATGTATATATTCTCTCGTGCATCTTCCAGATAAATTATCTACCATTGGGGGGATATTCAGGCATTCACGGCAATGTGCAGTATTGAAGCTTACCAAAACGAGTATATCTATGATAATGCAGGCCCAATAATAGTGTCGCGGCAAACACTCAAATCCCCAATTCAAAGGCATAACAACTGAGACGAAACTCCTTCCCCTGCGCTGCCAGTTTCTATAGACATCTTTGACGCTGAGAGAACAGGATACTGGATATCCTAGATACATGTTTCAGAATTTGGGACAGCCAACGACTTAGCTTGAGAGCATCGCCTGAATCGTTAAATTGAATTTAATGTCCGGGGCAGCATTTATGAATAGAAAATATATCAAATTAGCGCTAAATTTGTGGCGCTATCTGACTTCAAAGCTCGCCGTTTTGGAATGAGCACAAATTTGACTCCATCTCGGGCATTTGGCTGCGGGGCGTTTAATTGAATAGTTCAGGCCAGCATTTGCATACGATACTAGTGCAGTCTGAGCGAACGGTCCGAGCGGCTTCGAGAGTAAAACAAATAAGACAAATCACGCCCAGAAATGGCTAGCGATAAGCCACGAACTGGATTCGAGTTGCGGGCTCTGGCTCTCTGTTGCAAGCGAGTACAAAAAAATATCTATCTTGCTGAGCAATTTCTGTTGCTGTTGGCTATTTTTTTTTTTTTGTGGTTTTCATGGCTTAAACGTTGCGCATGCGTAATGCAATATTACGTATACGTACCCAAAGATCTTTCAGCGGCTCTTCCGCTGCTCCCGCCTCCTACGCCGCCATCGCTGGGCTCCTCATCGCTATCGATATGCGGAAAAGAGTTGCCCAAACAAAACAAAGGCAATGCCGGGGATGTGGATGATGCCTCACTCTTCTCGCTGTGGCTGCTGCTGCTGCTGCTCCTTTTCTTTGTGTCGCTGCTGCTGCTGGTGTTGCCATTCTGATTGTTATTATTGTTGAGCAGCTCCTCTCCGGCACTCGAGCTGGAGCTGGAGGCACTGCTCCTATCGCTCACATTGCTGTTCCCCGACGAGGTGGAGTTCATGCTGTCCTGCCTGTTGGTCAGACGCCGCAGCATGTAGCGGTTGTTGAACAGTTTGTTTTTGGTAATCAAATCGCTGCGCCTCAGCGCACACTTGGGTGAACCGGCAATGCTGCTCGGATTCCCATTCGTGTTCCCATTATTATTATTGTTGTTATTGTTGTTGTTGGCCTCATCCAGTGGCATTTCCTCGCCGTGTGTTTGGGGTGGCAGCTGCATCTGCATGTGCAGCTCGTTTAGTGACACGCGCTCAATGCTGCGCTCCACGCTCACCAGCAGATTCTGCAACAGTTGCGGCAGCTCGCCGCCATCCGTTGTGGCCATCATCATTGATGCTGCCGTCGCTGCCGTGGTGGACATCTCCAGTTGGTGCAGGCTCACTGGCAGTGCCAGGGGATTCGTATGGTCGATGCAATATCTCTGGACGCTCTCCACGTTTGGGGAGGAGCGCCAAACAGCATAGAGCCGTAGTGTGGCCTCTGCGTTGTCGTCGCTTTTGTCGTTTGCGGCTTCTGCAACGGGGAGTAGAGGAAACAGAAAAGAGTGCAGCGATTAGTTGTGTGATTGCTGTGGCAATAGTGGTTAAATGAATGTGTTTCGATCTAATCTTGGCTTGTAGCGCTCCGGATAAGAGTTGCACAAAGCTAAATGCCACTGGAAGGAGTGAACGAGTGATCTATATTTATTTCTGTGGATCTTGTGGTGGTAATTGCTGGGCTTTCAGCAAAGATATTTCCTTTCAACTTCTTCAAAAGATCAAAGAATCTAAGAGCGCTATATTTTAGGGTTCCTTAATGCACTGAAATGTCATGGAATATGGCCTAACACTGGCGAGATATTTAATGAAGATATATTTGATCATCTTTTATATCTTAAGCTGGGATTTCCTAAGTTTCCTAATTTTTCTATTTATTATAAAAAAAAAAGATAAAGGAATTAAAAATTGATTAATGGAAAAAAAAGAAAGGAAGAAAATTAAATGTTTTGTTTTCTGAAAATTTTGCATTATTAATTTTTCTTTTTAGATGGAGTTAATCCTTCGATGAGCACAGAAACTGTGCTCGGATTATATATCGGACCATATATCTGAAAACTCCAAATAAGTTCAACGAATTGCTTATTGACATCTCTCGTTATTATTCACAGAAAATCAAAGAAAGCAAAGGTAGAAAAGATAAAAAAGGTTTTCCCTAAACATTCTAGCCCATGCATGGCTTCAAATTGAAGCCAAAAGAAGACTCCCCATTCAAGTGTTAAATTATGATTAAGGGGTTGCTTGGCTAAGTATAGTCCTATGGGTTAGAGATACTTGGGCTACAAGGGATCGACCCACTTACCCAATTCGATGCACAGATACAGCTCTGCGGGACGAAGTGCGTGCGCAATCTCAGCGTCGCTCAGCTGCAGCACCAGCGCTCCATTGGGTGTTGCCAAAGGCCAGCCGGCGTGCCATAACCAGGACTGCAATACGGATAAATGGATGATAAACGGTGATTGAAGGCAAGCAAAGGCAGTCGTAGAGGTAGAGGTGCAGGCAGAGGCAGAGGCAGAGAGATTAAGTAACGAAATCATTTGCAAATTTTTATTATTACAGCGATTACATGTTTTGGGGGAGCATAAGAGCGACCAAGCCAAAGAGTCTGAGCCAAGTGGCTGAGTCTGAGTCTGAGTCCGAAAATTATGCAGGCCACAACACCCGCAAGTGTTAAGCTGCAAAAAAGGAAACCAAAGCCGTGGAAAAATTGGGGGAAAAATGCGCGAGGCTTAGACTGTCTGTCTGTCTGTTGGTCTGTCAGAGCCAGGGTTTCCCACATATATATATTTGTCTGTGGGGGTCTCAGTCTGCGGCCTGACTGTGTATCAGAGATGTGGCCACAACTTTGTGGCATGGCCCGGCCAGGACCAGACAAGAGCTTCAAAAACCCAAACACGGCAATAGGCGATGGAAAATTATAGATAAATCATGCAAGTCAAACTTTTTTTTTTTTTTTTTTTTTTTTTGGCAATTTCTGCTAATTTTTGGTTATTACCCTTTCAGCGTTTCAGCCAGAAAAAAAAAACAGCAAAAGCTGAAAAACGCAGATTTCACCCCTACGGGAATGTGAAATCGAATTTTGAGACTCGAACCTCAGCCAACCACCCCCCGACCCGCCCTCGCTTCAGACCGCGACTAGCAAAACCCTGTGCCACTATTAATTGTTGCAAAGCAAGCGCAAAATGTTGCCATCGCATTTTGGTTGCTAATTTGCCAGATAGATTTCCTTTTTGCATTTGATTTTTCGATTCGCAAAACAAAACAAAAACAAAACCAAAACCAAAAAAAAAAGGTGCGCACACTGCGCACTGGCTGCTTGATTTATGGCTTGGATTTCTGGTTGATTTTATTGGTAACAAAGCGTTTTTGGGCTTTTTTGTTGCACATGCCACAGACCAGAGAGCGACACAGACCCCACAGAGACAGCAGAGATACAAAGCAGCAGCAGCTGCAGGAGCAGAGTGGGGGGGCAGACACACTGAAGCATAAATCAATTGTTGTCGCACAAGAGAGAGAGATAGAGAGAGACAGAGAGAGAGAGGGGTGCCGTACCCAACGAAGAGGGTCGGTCGGTCGGTCGCTATCCATCGATATCCATTCAAACAGAAAATGATCAATTTTGTCATTTGATCAAAGCCGCAGAAACGATCGATTCGAACCGAATCGCAACGATCGCAACGCATCGTTTACAATCGATTGAACAAAATGATCATCGCCGATCAACCGAACCAAAAACCACACAACGACAGTCTGCACTTCCTCTGGCGGAGGCTTCACTGTCCGTCGTTTCCCACTCCTCTCCTCTCCACTTCTCTCCTATCCTGCCTTGCCCTGAGTCTCAGTGTTGTTTTTTTTTTCGGGTAGGTATAAATATCGTATCGCTGTCGCCACATGCTAAAATAATGATTTTTCGTAACATTTTCTGCTTGATTGCCCCCGCTCTGCCACATGCAGCACAAGCAGCAGCTCAAAGTGCTGTGCTTCCCCATCTCTCATGCTCCCTGCTCCCTGCTCCAAAGTCTCCATCCAAATCTGTGATCCAAAGGGGGTTCTAAATCATTGGAATCGGTTACGTTTCAGTTTCATCGTCATTGACCCAAATGCGCGCGCCGCTCGGACGCCGCTTGTCATTGTCATCGTTCGAGTTCTCGTTGTCGTTTGTCGTTTGTCTGGGATGATGATGGTGTCGTCGTCGCCTACAATGGAACGGAACCAGCCCCGAAGCATAGGCAGGGGCACAGGCAGCAGCAGCAGTCCCTGGCCAAGCTCCCAGCTCCACTCAGCAGTCGTCTTGCTGATCGATCGCTTGATGTTACGTTTTCGATTTTCTGCTCTGAATTTCTGCTACATTCAATGTCAAGTCGCATTTATTTTCAAATTCTTTAGAGATACTCTAACTTGGGTCTTGAATTTTTAGACCGAACAGAACACTTTATCCCTTGCTATAATCTCCTCCAAGTGGATATCTTAAAATATTTAGCTCCTAGAAACATATATAATCGATTTTGAATCAAATATTGATATTAAGCTACTTGTATGCTGAGGCAATAATTAACAAAAACTCAAAGCTGTACTAAATATGCCTCAATTATGCACCCAAATCTTTATATATTCATATTCCTTATTAGTTTTATCGAATGATTCATTGTATACATGCGAATTTTATTTAACCCACTGAACTTGATCATCAGCTGGAATATAATGCGTGCATTTCCTAAGAACATGAAATAAATATCTCAAACAGCAACAGAAAAAAGGGAAACACACAAAAAAAAAGCCAAAGCAAAGCCTAAAATAATTCCCAGAATTCTAGAAATCCAATAAAAAATAGAGTGTATGAAAGCCATCACCATCAAACGTATCCCAAAGATACAAAAGTAGCTTTTTTTGTTCTTGTTACCGCATTCTGATTGTTTTTTTTTTTTCATTTTTGTTGTGTCATTTTCGGTTTGTATACAATTTGTTGTGGGGCGACAAATTTCCGTTCCATTGGCGGCTTTTCGCTTTTGCCTTTCGGCTTTTGAGTGCTTTGGCGAATGCCTTGCCCCTCGCTGGAGGCCATAAATCTGCCGCTGGGGTTCAGCTGGTTTTTTTTTATTGTTGTTGTTGTTTCGGCGAGGATTTGTCTGGGTATCCTGGATGGATCAGAGCGTGTATATATCATTCCATCATTCATACGCATTTTTTATATTTAGCAGCCCATTCCCACGCCTTTGATGTTGAAAACTAAATTACCGACCAGCGCAAAAAAAAAAAAGGCCATCAACAGGCAGGCACAGGCAGCGTCAGCGGACAGCAAGGGGACTCAAGCGGATCGACAGACGGACACGGCGGCCTGTGTGTATGAGTAATCAAGCCGACATGGAATGGTCTCTGGGCATTAGCATATATGCAGATACACATACATATGTATGTACATATATGTATATTGCTCGTATATCTGAAGAAACAGCAACAGAAAACACATATCCCGGCGCGTGTGGCGCCCCAGCCTATGCCAATTATTCAATGCGGGTGCAGCCAACAGTCGTACACGGATTCGGATTCGACTCCAAAGTTTGGGCACCGGACCACCGTGGTGTGGAGTCAGAGTCAGAGAATTACGCATGCAAAAGGCGCACACAGGGCGTTGCACACACGGAGTTGCGGACACACCGGCACTTGGCTTGTTTTGCTTAATAATTTATAGTAGAAACGCATAAAAAAAAAAAAAAAACAACTTGTTGGCCGCTGGCCTAAGTGCCTGACTGCTGTCTGCCACTTTGGTGGCGACTCCACACTGACCATTCGTTTCGGTTATTGGCAATCATTTCAGCAGAGTATTTCTCTTAATTTCTCAGCTCTAACAATAATTAATTTGTTGGGAAAAAAGGGCCACACCTGAGCCCAAGAGAGCGCCCCCTCCGGCAGTCGATAATTATTACCAGCAAGGGGGTATACGCTGGGAGGGGCATGCCGCCGCGACCTCGGCCTTTGGGAGGTCTCCAACATTTCGCAGTTGCCGCCGCAAAAGAGAGAAACCGTTTGCCGTTTGCCGTTTGTTTTTCTTTTTTTTTTGTTTGCCAAATCGTTTTCGATGGCCAACAATTGATTTCGCAGGTTACTTCATCTTTCATTCAATCGATTGCCAAATGGTTTGTTGCGTTTTTGTTTCATTCATTAAAATATTAAATTAAATTTGAAAAAAAATCAGATAACATTCTTCGTAAGAGCCATTAAGCCTTGAAGCACCTGATGAATCATTTATGCTGGAATTTATGTAGAAACTGATTAACGGCAAAGACTGGTATACAATTATTTAATAGTGTTTTGCAACGGGTATCTCGTAGTTGAGGAACGTAAGCCTTTAGAATGGTTTTAGTAAGTGAAATCTTTGCAAATCCTTCGAAATCTTTAATTGAGTTCTCTTTTGGTTTTGCTTGGGATTTCGGGAAACAGCAGATAAAATACCAACTGCCAGTCTCAATGGAAAAGAGCTAGCAATGGAGAGGGTAAGAGACATTATAAATCATCCCTTCACAGCTAAGCCACACTGGCAGAGAGAGAGAGAGAGAGAGAGAGGTGATTTCTATTACAATATTTTAAATAGATACTGAAAGAGAACGCTGCAATACTGATTAAAGTAAAGTGATTAATTTTATATATGGTTTAATCCTTTTTTATTGTAATGTTTTCCCCTTTTAAGGGTACTAGGAAATATCTTAACAATGTTTCCGACAAGTATTAAAATTGTTTTAAGTTAATATTAGCTAAGAAGTCTGCCAATTGAGCTAAAAGCCCCCTCCAATGATAAGTTTACAAATAAAAAAATAATTATACTCCAATCCGAGTGCTCAGCTCGTTAGAATGTTTTTCTCTTTAAATGTGTATTTTTGCGAATTATTATTCGTTTCCTCGAACATCTTAATCTTTCTGTAGAACTTCCTGCTCTAATTCGAATTCCTCCTTTCATCAATTAACACTCCAGAGATTCACCCACTTCTATTTATAAATCCATCGTTAAATCCATCTTCCGGCACCATTTACCCTGCAAAATCAACAACAACAAAATGTGCCAGTTGCAACTGCCACATTGTGGTGCAGAAAAGTGAAGAAATGATCCCGGGGGAAGAAAAAAGCTTTGAACTTTTGCACTAACAAAGCGGTTCACATTTTTGTTTTTGTATTTATTGCGACGTCACATTTCCGCTTGATCTGCCACAGAGAGCGGCCATCAAACGGCGTGGCATGTCATCGGCACCACCATCATTCCATGCCACATGTCCATGTCCATGTCCATGCCCCTGCCCATGCCACAGCCACAGCCAGTCATTCGATGTGGCCACACCTACAAATTGTTTGTGTTTCTTGTTTGTGTGTGTGTGTTTGTGTGTGTGGCGGGGGCGAAAGAGGGCTCAAGATATAAATATATATATGTATGTATGGG